GCTAGAACTATATGTATAAAAACCGCAATAGAATGGGTCTGACAGACCTCCTGAAAAATCCACATTTATGGCAGTGACAACCACAAAACATTTTTTTAAAAAATTCACACTCATTGTTGTGTTGCTTAAAAAATAATCAATAAAAGATTCCGCAATTCTTTAAAAAAATAAAAAACATAATTAATGCTCTGATGATCCTTGGAAAATATCCTTTAAAAATCAAAACCAATTGTTACGGTGGTCCTGCAATTTTTTTCTTCAGTCAAAAAAAATTCCGAGTGAGAACTTTAAAAAATTTTCCTTAAACAATCCCTAAACAATCATATTATTATTATTATTATTATATTATATTATTATTATTATATTATTATTATATTTTATTATTATTATTATTATTATTATTATTATTATTATTATTATTATTATTATTATTATTATTATTATTATTATTATTATTATTATTATTATTATTATTATTATTATTATTATTATTATTATTATTATTATTATTATTATTATTATTATTATTATTATTATTATTATTATTATTATTATTATTATTATTATTATTATTATTATTATTATTATTATTATTATTATTATTATTATATTATTATTATTATTATTTATTATTATTATTATATTATTATTATTATATTATTATTATATTATTATTATTATTATTATTATTATTATTATTATTATTATTATTATATTATTATTATTATTATTATTATTATTATTATTATTATTATTATTATTATTATTATTATTATTATTATTATTATTGTTATTATTATTATTATTATTATTATTATTATTATTATTATTATATTATTATTATTATTATTATATTATTATTATATTTATATTATTATTATTATTATTATTCGTATTATTCTATATTTATTATTATATTATTATTATTATTTTATTATTATTATATTATTATTATTATTATTATTATTATTATTATTATTATTATTATTATTATTATTATTATATTATTATTATTATTATATTATTCTTATTATTATTATTATTATTATTATATTATTATTATTATTTATTATATTATTATTATTATTATTATATTATTATATTATTATTATTATATTATTATTATTATATTATTATTATTATTATTATTATTATTATTATTATTATTATTATTATTATTATTATTATTATTATATTTATTATTATTATTATTATTATTTCTTATTATTATTATTATTATTATTATTATTATTATTATTATTATTATTTATTATTATTATTATTATTATTATTATATTATTATTATTATTATTATTATTATATTATTATTATTATTATTATTATTTTTATTATTATTATTATTATTATTATTATTATTATTATTATTATTATTATTATTATTATTATTATTATTATTATTATTATTATTATTATTATATTATTATATTATTATTATTGTTATTATTATATTATTATTATTATCGATTATATGTCCTCTGCTCCCGAAAAAATTTTCTTTAAAAAATCCCCGAAACAAAAATTAAAATTAACTATTATGGTCCGCCAGCCCTGAAAAAATATTCATTAATTCTTTCACTTTCCATCTGTTCCTAAAGATATTTCGCGATTTAATAAAATATATAATTTCATTAAAATTCTTAGGAATTGCAGCAAATATCCTGTTGCACGTGTTGTGGGAAAAACTTTTATAATTGATGTCTACTTTTAGGCTATATTTAATATGCTCGTTAGTATTTTTTTTTTCTTTTTTCATTTAATTAAAATATTTGAATCATTCTAATGATAATCTTTATGGCTTTGATCCTTGCCGTGTGCTCCTCTTCTTCGTAGTCGTCGTCATCGTCTTTAATTGCATGCCACGTTTATAATTGTAGGATTTGTTGTAATCACATTTAAGAATTTTCTTTCTTTCACTGCCTTTCGCCCAATCATCATCGTAGCGCAGCACATCGCAGTCATATGTGGAGCATCCATTTCCGTGGTTGTGTTTTATATCTGTATGTCACTGGGTCGATTTCATATCTATATGTGTAAGTATATAGATGTATATATATGCATACATTATGATGATGAATACGAATATAATAATTATGACGATGATGTTGATAACGATGAGGAGCATGATTACAAGCAATGCCGATGTTTAAGTGCGTGTAGAAATATTGCAAATTGGTTGGTGGTTTGTGGGTTATTGCAAGGGGAGTACCACTTTCCTTTTATGCCTTAAAAGGGATTCCCTTTCCACATATCTATATTTTCATTTTATCAATCATAATGTACTTAACTTGACAATAAGAGATAGGAATAATTGTTTTGAAATGTGTATGAGGTTTAGTAGAGAGCTGAGAGCTTAGACATGAGGTGCCTTACGAAGTCCTTTATGTGGCTTATAAAGAATTGGTTGGAAGCTCATACTAAAAGGTACCTTAATGTACTAAAATGTGAAATATTGTACTTTTAAGTATGTTTTAGTAAGAAGCCTAGACATATGGAAGATGTTTTGAAAATGTGTACTATAATTGTAAGAAAATTACTAATAGATACAAAATTGGGTATTGTGTGAAGGGATAGAGATACAATTCTGAAATTCAATATTTAGTTTACTGATGGTATCTATGTTTGAGATTTGGCGGCGATTTGGAAATGCAAATTTGTGCAACAAATACTAAAAGGTACTAAATGTGGTATTGGGTGAAGGGATAGTGGTGGAATACTAGAATTTGATATTTGAGGTATCTGTTGCAATCTGAAATTGAGATATCGTGGTGGTTTTAGAAATCTGTACTATACTTGTACGAAATGTACTATATTTGGTATTAAGTGAAAGGATAAGTGCTGGTATCGTAGAATCTAATATTGAGGGGTCTGTTGGTATCTGAAATCGACATATGAAGATGATTCTGGAAATGTGCCCTATATTTGTACGAAAAGTACTAAATTGTACTAAATTTAGTATTGCGTGTTGGAATAGAACTAGAATCCTCAAAATTTGATATGGAGGTGTCTGTTAGTACCTGGAATTGAGATATGGAGTCCAAGTCCTTTATATGGCTTGCAAAAAATACTAAAAGGTACTAAATGTGGTATTAGATTAAGGGATAGTGTTGGAACCCTAGAATTTGATATTGGAGGTCTCTGTTGCAATCTGGAATTGAGATATAGTGGTGGCTTTAGAAATCTGTACTATAATTGTACGAAAAGTACTAAGTTGTACAATATTTGGTATTGAGTGAAAGGATAAGTCCTGGCATCACAGAATCTAATATTGAGGTGTCTGTCGGAATAGCACCCCATTTTTATACGTAAAGTATTAAAATAGTACAAAATTTGGTATTGCGTGTTGGAATCCCCAACATTTGATAAGGAGGTTCTGTTGGTATCTGGAATTGAGATATGGAGGTACATAAAAGTACGAAAATGTGGAAATTTGTACTCTTAAGAATGTTTTAGTACGAATTTCTAATGAATGTTTTACAAGCCTTTTAAAGGACTGTGTATCCACCCATTCTTGCCCCGCCTTCAAAATACTTAGGCAGCCGTTTGGTAACTGTAGAGCGGAGGTGAATAAGCCTCGCTCCATCAGTAGCATAAGATAGTCCTCAGCGCCTTATCAATAGGAAAGAATTTCCAATTAGTGGACCTTTAACGAGGTATTGAACTCCCTCAGCGTACTCTGGACAATACCTTAGAGGCGCTGATCAAGGCATCGTATACTGACTCCAGTGCAATGGGACCTCATGATTAAAGCCATCAAATCACTACAAATTTGTTTTAAATCATTATTTAATACTTGAAAACAAACACTACCACAGCCACGGTCACCTTCCGGCTGAATACAACTTCATTTTTGCATACACTTGTCTGACCTAGACCAAAGAGCGGTGAAAAAAGTAAAAAAATATCAGTCGGTTTAGCCGACAGATGTATGTCCTCAGCCAATGTTCGATTACTTGACTTCTGTTGTGATTATTGACCGATATATCCCAGATCTTGTGTTAGTAGAAATAATGGGACGTGTGAAATATGAAGAAAATCCGATGCTTATTTCGGATTTTAATCGTTTTAGTTATTCAAAACATTGACCCTTTGTGGAGGAGGTATCAGAAGGAATGGACCGATCTCTACCACCTTTATAACAGTTCTTGTGCTGAAAGAAATATTGAGTTGTACGAAGTCTGAATGGAAACGGATGTTAATTTCGCATTTTCTTAGATTTATGGATATTCAAGATACTGTGAGGGAGGTGGGTCCAGAAGGAGTGGACCGATATCCATACTCACACAAGACCATGGGGTAAAAAAATAATTGTGATGTGTGTAATTTGAATAAAGTCGGACTCTTACATGACATCTTACATGACTTATAATTATTCAAAATTTTGGCCCTTTGTGGGGGAGGTACTTGATGCAGTGGACCGATATTGTCCATTTTCGCACCTGACCTAGCACTGTTGCAAATGTTAGGATTAGCAAAGTTGAAGCAAAATCAAATGATCCTTTCTCTTTCTGTTCTGTAAAATATATATTTTTTAAAATTTTGAAGTTTTGAGGTACAGGTACAAGAAGCAGTGGATCGATCTAAGTTTTATTATAATATTATGATGTTCCAAGTTTGGACCAATCGGATTCGAGAGTTATCGTGTGCACCAGCCAGACAGACAGACGGGCGGACATCGCTAGATCGACTCCAAATGTCCTGAAACGGATTTGGTCCAAAGAGACCTAGGGTCTAAGACCGTTACTTCGATGAGGCACGTTTTGGCCGTATCAAATGTAGCCATACATGGCTGAAGGTTTAAAAAAAATGTAATTTAATGCCATCATACGAGAGAACCTTTACCGTTGTAAAAAACCAAGTCATTTTTTGCTTCAGAATAAATTCCAGGCATTTGCCAAATGGCATTCGAAAAACAAATAAATGCGTAAATTGAAAATATCTCACAAAAAAGAGAAACAAAAAAAAATTCTAAATTAACTTACCCAGATTTGTCGTTTGTTCTCTGCTTCGTTGTAGTTGGTTGGCTATGTTATCCCATTTTGAAGTTGATGGCTATCCCACTCCATGCTGATGCTGCAGATGACGTTGCTGTTGTTGCTGTCGTAGTTGACATTGCAGATATTGTTGCTGATCCATTTTGTGATTTCTACTCCTCTGTTGTCCCTGTAAAACAAATATACTTACTCATCACTGGAACAAAAAAAAGAGAGAAAGAGAGAAAAAGGAAACACATTAAATTGATTAACAATAGAGGAGAGTAGCAGATAAACAAATGAAAATAAACAAAATATTTAAAAAAGTCACCCAAAAAATATTTTAGAGTTTTTTGCAATTTTGCGAAACATTTTAGGTAAGCTCTAGACTTTTGACGTCTCCTAGGGCCTTAAGTCATATTTCATGACAAACAATTTTGTAGAACATTTTGACTTGATACGATTCTGCTTAAAGGAAGTTTTTTGCCATATTTTAAAAGAAATATTCCTCGTATGTTTATTTCCAATATTGCCGTAAACACTGTATACCTGAAATTCACGGAATCTGAGAAGTCTCAATTCGAAAATTTTCAAAAGTGTAGAATACTTTATTTTGGTTACTTTTTGATGCAAACGTTCAAAACGCCGATTTTTTAGTTTTTTAGCTTTCCATTCATAATTTGCCGGATTTTTCGTAGATTTTTAAAGTATGTTATTTTAAAGAATCATTTCTCAAGGACCACCACTTCCTTAAGCGTGGATTTTTTTAAACATATTTTTTCAAAACAACAGAACTCGATTTAAAGATTAAGAAATACTTCTACGACATACGGAACAATTATCGTTGATTTTTAAAAAAAACTGTGTTTGAAAAACCCGCAGACCAATAAACGTGGATTTAAAAAAAAAAACTTTTTTTGAAGAACCCGCAGACCAATAAACGTGGATTTAAAAAAAAAATTCTTTGAAGAACCCGCAGACCAATAAAAGTGGATTTTTTTAAAAAAAATTTCTTTAAAGAACCCGCAGACCAATAAACGTGGATTTTAAAATAAATTTCTTTCAAGGTTTTGTATTTGAATAGTCATAGATTTTTAAAGAAATTTCTTTCAGGCGAAGAACTATGGATTTTTATACCCTCCACCATACTATGGAGGGTATATTAACTTTGTCATTCCGTTTGTAACTCCTCGAAATACTCATGTCAGACACAACAAAGTATATATATTCTTGATCAGTGTAAAATTCTAAGCCGATTTAGCGATGTCCGTCTGTCTGTCTGTCCGCTGTCTGTCCGTCTGTATGTCTGTCTGTCCGTCTGTTTGTTGTAATCATGCTATCTTTCGAACGAATTGAGATACCAGGCTAAAATTTTGCACACAGGTTTATTTTTACAGTAGGCAGGTTATGTTCGTAAATGGGCCATGTAGGTCCACGTTTTCATATAGCCCCCATATAACCTTACCTCCCGATATTCGGTATTTTGATGATTTTAGCGACATTATTTACCGGAATTGTTTCGAATTTGGTATTTGAAGTTCGAAATGGATACTACAGCCTAAGACAGAAAATTGTCTGTGCAGGTCCACGTCTTCGTATAGCCACCATATAACGGTACCTCCCGATATTCGGTATTTCGATGATTTTAGCGACATTATTCACCGGAATAGTTTCAAATTTAGTATTTGAGGTTCGAAATAGATACTACAGCCTAAGACAGAAAATTGTCTGTTCAGGTCCACGTCTTCGTATAGCCCCCATATAACGGTACCTCCCTATATTCGGTATTTTGGTGATTTTAGCCTCTTTATTCACCAAAATTTTTTCAAATAACGCATTTAGAGTTCGTAATGGAAACTCCAGTCTGTGACAGAAAATTGTCTATGCAGGTCCAGGTCTTCGTATAGGCCCCATATACCAGTACCTCCCTATATTCGGTATTTTGACGAGTTTAGGTACAATACTCACCGAAGTTGTTTGAAATATGCTACAGAATATGACAAAAAATTGTCTACGCAGGTTCAGGTCTTCGCACAGCTCCGATATAACGGTACCTCTATATATTCTATACTTTGATGAACTTACTGCTTTTTAACCGGCCGAACTTACTGCTTTTTAACTTGTTTAAGTTTTCTTATTAAAAAATCATAAGGGTAACAATGGGGAAATTTTAAATAATATTTTCAAGGATCATAAGGTAATTATCTGAGAATTTCATTTCAAAAAAATTCTTTCAACGCATTGCAAGGCAATTTTCGAGTCATGGTATTTGGGGGTGGGAAATTCCCTTGTGTATGGTTAAGGCTTTATGTACACTGGTTCCATAAAAGAATTTGGACTGGGAACCCAAAACCCTGGATTTTGATACGAATTCTTTCCCCTCCACTTAGAATTTTCCACCCTCAAATTGTCTACCATCCAATCTAATCGTTGATTATAAAGAAATTTATTTTCAATAAATGTAAGGCTTGCAGGCCTGCATTTAAAAAAAAAAATTCAAGGTAGGTCAATAATGGTAATTTTTTTTTAAGGAATAATCCTTTATTAACAATAATCCTGTTTTTATTAACATATTTTGAAGGATAATCAAAACAATTACAGTAGATTCGTATTGAGAAATTTTTGATGAAGCCATAATGTCAGTTTTTTTTAATTGGGAGTTAAATTATATTTTTCAAAACATTCTATCAAAATTATTCATAATTTAAAGATTGCTGATAAAAGCTCCTTAAATTCGAAATTCCCTTCCAATCACAGATGGCCTTCAACTTTTTACCAATTAGTGCCGTTTTCATTTCAACAATGTGCGTACGTGTGAAGTATTCTCAGCATGGATTTAATTGTTGACAGGCTACATGGAAGAAGAACCACCGAAAAACGAAACGCAACACCCAACTGGAAAATTGTTGTCCTAGAAAAGAAACAAAAAAACCGACTCAGAACAATGCCGGCAACGCCTCTGTGTATTTGTGTGGCAACCAACAATTTTGGTGTCTAATTAATTGTTGTTGTCACCTCAACAATGAGAAAAAATCCCTGGCAATGGATGAAGGACCCGAACAAAAACGCTACTCCCCTAAACAAGAAATCATGGCTGGCAGAGTTCATTAATTCTAATTAAAAAAGCAAGGGACTTGACCAAAAAAATAACGCTAAAAGTAAAATAGACGTTTTTTTTAATAAAAACCCAGCTCAACACCTTGAAAATCTTTTCATCATTTTTTTTTTTTTTTTTTGTAAATTTGAAAATAAAAAATAACAGCAAAAAGGATTCCTCCTAAGATTTTCACACGTGCCAGGCAACCAACCGCTAGTATCCTCTCAGTTAATTAACATTGGTTGCTTTCTCCAACAAATGTTTAATGCGTCCTTGACAAACAAATAAATGTTTTGTAAGGCCGAAGACAGCCTTTATGGGTTTAATTGTAAGAAGATTCAGCAGAAACGACAATTGGTAACTGTTTTCATTGTTTCCCAATGTCATTGTGTTTTATTAATTTTGGTCTACATGGCTAGACACATACCTGCATATAAATCATTTCATTCACAATTTAATTACTCTTCGTTGGTTTTATGAGATTTTTGGATATTGGTTGGGATATGCAATTATTGGCATTAAAGTCCTTGGAAATATATTCGTTAAAAAGTCCACGATTTTTGGCCTCATGGCAAAAAAAAAATCAAATTTTACTTTTAAAAAATGTTCCTTTAAAATCCATAATTATTGAACTCATGGTATTGAAAAACTATTCCTTAACAATCCACGTCTATTGCATGCCTCTGGGTTCTTTGAAAAATATTCTTTAAAAATCCAGGTTTATTGGCTCTTGGGTCCTTTAAAAATATTCTTTAAAAATTCAAGTTTATTGACCTTTGAATATTTCACGAATATTAGCCGATGGTCCTTTATAAAATACTCCACCAAAATCGACGTTTATTGACCTTTAGGTCCTTTGAAAAATATTCTTTAAAAATCCACGTTTATTGGTCTGATGGTCCTTTGAAAAATATTCTTTAAAAATCCACGTTTATTGGTCTGATGGTCCTTTGAAAATATTCTTTATTGGCCTGTAGGTCCTTTAAAAAATATTCTTTAAAAATCTACGTTTATAGGCCCTTGGGTCCCTTGAAAAATATTCCTTAAAAATCCACGTTTATTGGCCTTTAGGTCCTTTGAAAAATATTCTTTAAAACTCCACGTTTATTGGCCTGTAGGTCCTTTAAAAAATATTCTTTAAAAATCTACGTTTATATTCCCTTGGGTCCCTTGAAAAATATTCTTTAAAAATCCACGATTATTGGCCTTTAGGTTCTTTGAAAAATATTCTTTAAAAATCCACGATTATTGGCCTTTAGGTCCTTTGAAAAATATTCTTTAAAAATCCACGTTTATTGGCCTTTAGGTCCTTTGAAAAATATTCTTTAAAAATCCACGTTTATTGGCCTTTAGGTTCTTTGAAAAATATTCTTTAAAAATCCACGTTTATTGGCCTTTAGGTCCTTTGAAAAACATTCTTTAAAAATCCACGTTTATTGGCCTTTAGGTCCTTTGAAACATATTCTTTAAAAACCCACGTTTATTGGCCTTTAGGTTCTTTGAAAAATATTCTTTAAAAATCCACGTTTATTGGCCTTTAGGTTCTTTGAAAAATATTCTTTAAAAATCCACGTTTATTGGCCTTTAGGTTCTTTGAAAAATATTCTTTAAAAATCCACGTTTATTGGCCTTTAGGTTCTTTGAAAAATATTCTTTAAAAATCCACGTTTATTGGCCTTTAGGTTCTTTGAAAAATATTCTTTAAAAATCCACGTTTATTTGCCTTTGAATCCTTTGAAAAATATTTTTTAAAAATCCACATTTATTGGCCTTTATGTCCTTTGAAAAATATTCTTAAAAAATTCAAGTTAATTTGCCTTTAGGTCCTTCGAAATGCGAAAAAGTCGCATTTAAATCTCTATAAAAAAATATTCCCAATATTTAACAACTTCTTTAACTTTTCCCTCTCTTCAATTCGTCCCCTAAACGAATTCAATCAACAACTCCATTATAATGGACTTTTCCCAAAAATCTTGTTTATCGACAACCTTGACATTGCATTTTACTTTGGCTGTCATAGTCGAAAGGATGCCAACAAATTGTATTTCTGTTTTTGTTATTGTTGTTGTTACTGTTACTGTTGTTTTGGCATTTCGCCGATGTCAAAACCTTGTCAAGTT